TATGAATACCTAATATGAAATAAACTAATAAATAACAATAATATTTATAGGGATCATTATTTAAGTAAGTACTTACTTTAGTCTGTATATTTAAGGCAGATGTCCTTGTTGCTTCTGTCATATGAGGAGTTAATATGTTTATGACATATCTTACTAAATCTTTTGTCAGTCTATAATTGTTTATAAAAATATAATCTGGTAATAAAAAAGCATCAAATCGTTCACTGTGACTAAGCTTTCGGTAATTTACTGCATTTTCTTGCCGTTCTAAGTTTTCTAATGCAGCTATATAAAACTCATCCATACTCTTGTAGATTTTTATATCAATTATAAAAAAAATCACGAGTAAGTAACGAGATCACGATAAATTACACTAAAAAGTCAATAACGACCAAGAAAATGGGTGATAGAATAGAAAATAATAATACAAGTATATACAACTCAAATAATAGGTAACAGTGATAATCAATTTCACCAGTGAAATAGGTAGGGATAATTTATCGTTTTAATTATCAAATTAAATTATCAAGAATTCATTCAAGAATATAAAAAAACGATAATTTCAATTTTCATGTGATAATTAAAGAATATCACACGTGATAAATTATCACTTCGATTCAAGAATAGGGCCCCAGAACATACAAATACATACTACTGTTGATATTGATAAGATTGTTGATATGTTATCAACTGATATCGATGTTAACTATCGATGTCCACTATCGATTTCCACTATCGATTTTCACAATCGATTATTTTTCATCAGTCAACGATTCGGGCTGCGCTCTGTAGGCTTCCCCCGAACGTGTGTTGAATAAGAAAAATAATAATATACCTGATTTTTCAGGAATTTGAGATGAATGAGATTCTGGTAGATTGTCTGTGATTTTCTTGAATGTTTGTGGATGGTCTGAAGTATCTGTTGAGTCTTGACGAGAACAAATGACGTCTGTTCACTACTTATACACGGTATATAAAATACGRTTATTAATTTGCCGATTTAAGTAATTATTATTCTTGAGCGTAGAACTGGAATACTATCGGATCCCACCGCTGCCACCRAAAAATGTTATGATTTTACACAACAAAATAAAATAACGTACGCAAAATAATTAAATAAAAATTATATTTTATTATTTACTACGGCTAATAACAATGTATCGGTTCAGACGTAATTATAAGACTGACTGGCCTCCCATATAGTGTATTATGCGACGACGCTCCGTGTCACAATCAAAATCCTATGTCAGCGGATTCCACGGTCTCGCCGTCGTACAACACACTATTCCTGATGATCTTAAAAATATCATGTAGAATAATATTATATTGTAATATTATTCATATTTATAATAATCTGATTCAGGGGTTCGTAACAATATACGTTTATAAATTGAAACGCTTTAAATCAAAACACACTATTACAAATTTCACTGTTCACTTTACACGTGAGTTCAACAAGACGAGCTCACAAATAATGAATAATGCTATACAAAATGTGAGGTCATCCTCTACCGAACAGCAGCTGCAGACAGCTGATAACATAAAAGGTTAATTAATTGAATACGTTCCCGCCGAAGTATTTGAAGTATGTTATAACACGCACTGCATACCGTCGCGTCACCCGGTAATATAGAACAATACTCGAAAATCTGAGGACCCCTGGCTCCGACAATATTTGAGCTCCACCCATCGGCCGCTAGCGCTCACTTTTTGTGAGTCCGACTATAACTGAATTACCCGACGTTGCCCGGAAAAACTCCTTTAAGGTGAAAAACGCTGTGGAAGCGTTGTCGAAAAGAAGAATGCCTTTTTAAATGTAAATTATATAATATTTAAATTTGTAGCCACATGTGTAATTATATGGGTAATATTGTTGAGTGCTATATATTTGTTATGCTTAGTCAATTGTTTTTGCTTTTTTTTTATAACTATCCGGCTTCATCGGTGTGTATATTATTTTCATATTTACAATATTATTTTAAAATGTTATGGGTAACATTGTTGTGTACTATTTTTTTTATGCAAAATCGTTTTCGCATTTTTTAAAGTACCTCTGTTTTGCGCCGGAATAGTTCTTACAAGTATATTGGCAGTGGACTATTCCGACTCRCGTAGATTTTGAGAAAGGTGACCTTGCTAATTTACTAACAACAACTCATTCTTTTAGGCGCTTGGCGCAATAGTACATATAATGATACACGATTAACAATAATATAACAATACAATGGAATTATTGCAATAAAAATATGTATGGGCGCCCAGAGCTTACTAAACAATAA